GTGTGTTATGGTAGGAATTGAAGTATCGGTGGCGTTCTGTATGTGTTTTGTCCAGGTTTGATCGGGATTTGCAGATATATGGGCTATTAGGGGAATGTGGTTTGACGGTGTGCTGGGTGCGGGCTGTAGGGCTTTGCAATGATTATTTCCGCTGATTGCAGTTTCCTGCTGTCACCAGACGAGACGAGCCGCATGCAGCTCTATGTGTATGTTGTGGAATGCTTTATTGTTGTATGGGACTATGTCAGGTGATGTTGGGCTGTTGTGTGTGATGAGGGTTGGAAGGTAGGGCCGGCCGATGTGGGATTAATCAGTGTACTTGTCTTCTTATGTGGTCGGAGGAGCTCTCCCCAAATGTTGTGTCTTTCGTTTGTGTCTGCGAGGAGGTATACAGGATGGGGCCTATTAAAAAAAGCGTGGAAGGTAATACAGTTGATGTAGTCTATGCGGGGAGGAATGCATGTAGTTCCTATTGTGCTGGGTCCTTGTTGGTTATCTATTGTGATTGCGAGCTTGTCTGTATGTTGTCGTGTAGTTTGTATGTGTTATGGCGTTTTACTGCTATGGCTGCAACGGAGAGAATTGTTTTATCTATGTTGCTGCCATGGACGTTATAATTGAATGTTTTAAGTGAAGTGTTGTTGTCTGTGATAGAGTGATCGTTAATTGGAATGATCTCATTGCAAATAGTTGATAATGTAATTTCTTATTATGCCAGTGTTGGACATTGTATCGGTAATGTTGGGCATTATCTTCAGTGTTGATTGAGAGGTCTTGATGGGGTGGATGTTTCAATGTGGATTGTTTCAGTTTTTTGGCGGCGGTTGTGTCTATCCATGGTAATGACGGCGTCGTGAGGAATGACGTTGACTGTGGGCTTGTTGAGTTTGAATTTGTTTCGTCTCAAATAGTTGGTAATTTTCAAAGAGCCATAAGTCTATCACTGAGACCTTCAGTCCGAATTCGTTCTTTCTCAGTTCGTCAAGGTACCAGCTGTTGTGAGGGACGGCAGGGATTGGGTTAGGTTTCTGTTGCTTTTTAATAGTCTAACAGCTTTTAATTCGTCTTCTCCTGACATTGAAATGGGTGATTCTCCGTATTGTTCGTCACTAATTCTGCGTTTTTTAGGGTCGATGTTTTAGTAGTGGATTTTGGTTGTCTGTGGGAGGGACGTTCTGATGGATCTCTTGACCTCTCTGTCGAGTTTAGTGGGGACCTTGTCATGTCGTCATCTACAAAAATTCCGTTTGGAGGTTGAAGTCGGTGTCTGGAGTCTTGGTTTCTGGTTGGTATTAAAAAAGTTTAATATTTTGACGGAGATTCTGTCAGGAAAAGTTGCGGCAATATCGTAGTTGGTCTTCAATGATTTGGATAGTATGCTGCCGAACCCCTCCTGTCGAGAGAAGCTGGCGAATGGGCTTCTAGAGTAATTGCGGTCAGTTTAAGTTGCGTCTTGTCTGTCAATGTAAGGATGTGTTGTGGAATATATTTTTGTTTATGTAACGATCTTGCGTGCCAAGGTTCAAAATAAAATCCGATTCAATAAACATTTATATTAATCGATGTTGATTAATCCACATAGACCTAAGTATACCAGATTAAAGTAAGAGCACAGGAGCGGGAAGGCGTAGGTAACGGTGACTCCCTACAAAGAATAAAGTCTATTTAACATTCAATTACAACTAAAATGAAGTATTAAACATCATCAACCATAAGCTTAATACAACCCTAATAAACACTAAATAGTAGGTACAGTATTAATCAAGACATGCATTAACACTGATATAAACACATGACACTAGGACATAAACACATGACACTAGGACATAAACACACGACACTAGGATATAAACATACGACACTAGGATATAAACACGACAAACCGTACCTCTGCAGCTGCCGAGTTCTACACATAAATCGCATGCCTTTAACCCAACGGCAAATCCGCATAAATTCCGCGCACTGCTACGGGATCCCCTGATCTCTTTCTTCATCTATTACTCTAAGAAATCCCGAATGTGATCCCTACAGTTTAATTGCTTGTTTGGATATGTTGAGATATGTTTGGTTGTTTTTGTGTTCGATAGTTTCTTATTGTTTGTCTGTTTTATATTTTTTACTTGAGGTATGGGCAGTTGGGGGCTAATGTGCGGTGGTTGTTGTGGCAGTTGAGACATTTTTCGTAGGTGTTTGTGCATTGGGTGCAGGTCCACGTGGCGGGAGCTAAAGAGCCTTATGTTTGTGAGGTGTAATGGACTGCCACGTCCACATGGTGGGAGTTATAGCGGCTTGTGTTTGAGATGCAGCGGACGGCCACGTTCACGTGGCGGAGTTAGAAGGCTTGTGTTCGAGGTGTAGTGGACTGCCACGTTCACGTAGCGGGTTATGAAGGCTTGTGTTCGAGGTGTAGTTGACTGCCACGTTCACGTAGCGAGAGTTATGAAGGCTTGTGTTCGAGGTGTAGTGGACTGCCACGTTCACGTGGTGGAGTTATGAAGGCTTGTGTTCGAGGTGTAGTGGACTGCCACGTTCACGTGGTGGGAGTTATGAAGGCTTGTGTTCGAGGTGTAGTGGACTACCACGTTCACGTGGTGGGAGTTATAAAGGCTTGTGTTCGAGGTGTAGTGGACTGCCTCGTTCACGTGGTGGACTGCACCGTTCACGTGGTGGGAGTTATGGAAGCTCGTGTTAATGGAGCGCATTACATTCATTTCCCGGGCCAGCATAGTTTGTTTTCCGTTCACATACCCTAATTCTCATCACTTATTGATTCAATATTTTTCCACTCTACTTGTCGAACGTGGGTAGGCTTGGAACCTCAATAAATTTTATTTATAATTTTTTTGGAATGCGGTTTGGAACCCCCTTAAATTTTATTTATAATTTTTTATTCAAGTGAGATCAGACATTGTGAAGCACTGACTGTTGTGTGAAATTAAAACCTCAATCAACTGCGTCCTCGCCAAAGCAGCCACCTTTGCTCCAGCATCAGTTAGTCCGGCTACGGCAGCAGTCAGTCCAAGTTGCCCATATTGTGATATAACCTGTGATTTTGATTCCAAGTTCCAACCTGATCACAGGATTTAAAGTAACAAAGCATAAATGTTTAGAAGTTGGTGATGGGCATCACTTGAAATATGGATCTGATCACCATTAGCCCATGCCCTGGGGCCTGGGCATGGGCTAATGGTGATCAGATCCATATTTCAAGTTGTGCAACAATATGCTAAAGTTTTGGCATATAAAATTGATGTAAACAAAACAAAACATATCAACCAAGTTAGGTTAGTTAGTTCACTGGTTAACTTTAAAAGAGACTAAATCACAGTGGAATTCTGGGGTTGATGAGCAATCTACATTTCAAGAAGCTGTCTCACTTGTTTAAAAAAAAATGTCAGCAAGGTTTCAAAAGGAAGCTTCACTTGCAAAAATTCCAATACAATATGATATTCAGACCCGCTCACTTTTGTCACCTCTCAAAAAACTACTTTATGAGCAGAACAGTGTAAATTGTCAACGACAAATTGTCACAAAACCGAGTAACTGACTGAAGTCACCATTCCGCATTCGCCAGGTCGAACCTCTCCAGCCCTCCCTACTGCGGTCAAATCGACAAACCCCTCAATAAAAACTATTTGAATTCCACAGGAATAGAAGCACTATATCCTGAAAGTATCAAAATTTAATACATAACAGGGTGTTTCTCCTCGACCTCGGTGTAAAGCATCACTGTCTGGCTCTAGTCTATAGAAGAGTTCAGCAATCGACTGATGTGGAACGAACCAACGCAACTCAAAGTATTAACACTCAAAGAATAGGAGAACAAACATGAGCAACTCAATTGAATAACACACGATACCATGTCATTGGTACAAAAATCACAGCCAACAACCAAAATTAGTATAAATCAACAATAATAATTTGAATAAATTTAGCTTATGAGCAATGTCTTCCACTCAAGATGGCGTCTAGATATTAACTCGACCGATGACTGTGGCGCCATCTACCGCTGAAGTCCAACAAACCACGGTAAATAACCTGAATGACCGGATTGCGGTTAATGAACTTCGAAAACAAACGTGTACTGCACATTTTTCGCCCGTTTTTTCTAACAGTGTAGACTAGTCTAGGAATGACTAGTCTAGATCACCGATTAAGGATGTCGTTGTAACATTAAGATGGTCTGCATGGGAACTTGAGTCTCATTTCATCAATAATCTTCACTTACTTGCAGTTATAAATTTAGTTTTTCATTGAAGTAAATAAGCCATCATGCGAGCGCTTTGAGTCCTCCTGCTCTAGCAGGGGTTAGTCACATCGAATAATGGTTATCAAAAACTAGTGAACTGTTATTAATTATCTTGAAAATATAATTACTGTCCTCAAACTAACGTTTTAAATAGGGCTGATTGTTGATTATGGATATGATTCGGTTGGGATGATTTGATAACAAGAATCTCACAGCACAATGATAATTATCTACCCCGAGCGGCGCCAGGATCATCTGCTAGTGTTTATGAAAGGCAATGGGCATGAGAGGCCATAATTATGAATGCGAAACAAGATCGAGAAGTTAATTCATATTTATAATAATTTGTGCAATATCTGTGTTTTTGTCTCGATTGCAATGCACCAGCTGTGTTGATTTTTTCATCGTATTTGTGAGCAAATGAACCTGCCTCTTTGATGCCAGTCTTGCCAGCTGCTAACCAATACAGTACGGCTTCTCAAGTAGAGGTTGAGAGACCTGGAGACATTTTCATGAGCTTAACATCGATTTTTTCATTAAGCATGTTACTTCTATCCTTGTTTTTTTTATGAGCTTCTGCAGCTGTAGACTCCACTAATTTGAGCTTTACAATAACCACAAAATGTACCCACGCCGAACATAATCTGTCCACCAAAAGCTTCACTAATCTTCCCCTTCAAGCTGGTTTATCTTGAGCAGTTTCGTACGGGCATTTGTCTCTATTTGACATCATAGCGTTTTTTGTGTTGCAGGTGTTGAGCCTTGGACTCGCCGCGGCTTCGTATCCTGACAGCGTGAGTACAATAGCCGTAGCCATGTTCCCAGTTGCTTCGCCTTGATTATTATTTTGTGTCTGAATTCTTCATTAACAGCTAAGTAATCATTCGCTGTGTGCATGATGCATAAATGCTATTGATTTAATCAACGTAATTTGGTGGGAAAGGGCGACGACACACTTCAAGCCTCAGACTACCAACGAGAAGCTAGGCAAACAGATTCAAGTTTCTTATGAAACACAATTTTATTCGCAGATTCAGGAGGAAGGTAAACTATTGATTTGATGGGAGGCTGATATCAACTAAATCAAAAAATATTCTTGCTCATTGTACGATTGATGTATGATTCTGCTCGGTAATTATTAGCAAAGTTTTATAAATCATGGAAATCCATAATTTTTCGTGCCAATTTATAACTATTTACGTTGATAATAAATTTATGATTTTGGGTACCTTGTAGTGAAGCAAAAACGCTGTCCTCATTCTTTGTTAAATCTAATGACGAACATGGTACTGAGTAATCCTTCTGAAATGTATAATTTGAATAAAACTGATATATTTATTAATAATTACGTGAGTAACTGGCGACATCGAATCGGGTAATGAGCAATTCTTCCCAATTAGATCAAAGCCCTGTCTTACAGCTCCTGGGTCAGCTCGGCTACTCTAAACTAGAACTGCATGAATTCAGCCGTCCAGCTGCTTGCAGCGAGGAACTCAATTAGCAATAAAACCCACCCACAGCGAGGGAGTAACTCGCACACGTTCATCCGCAGGTCAACGTGGTTACAGGCCGCCCTGGCCCGCTGAGTTGTGGAGCAAAGACTTCCACTTCTGTCCGCTTCCGGTCCCTGACGATGCCGGGCAGCAAATCGCTGGTGGTGAGCCGTGTACCTGTTTACACATGCAGCATTAGGAGCAAGTGTAAACGAGCTCGGTGGTGGTGAGCCGTGTACCTGTTTACACATGCAGCATTAGGAGCAAGTGTAAACGAGCACGGTGGTGGTGAGCCGTGTACCTGTTTACACATGCAGCATTAGGAGCAAGTGTAAACGAGCTCAGTGGTGGTGAGCCGTGTACCTGTTTACACATGCAGCATTAGGAGCAAGTGTAAATTAACGAGCTCGGTGGTGGTGAGCCGTGTAGCTGAGTACACGTGCAGCATTGGGAGCCCGTATAAACGTGCTCGGTGGTATTGAGCCGTGTAACTGGTAACACTTGCTGCATTATATAGGAGCGCGTACAAAAGAGCTCGGTGGTAGATTAGATCCAACAATAAATGCAGAAGCTGTTGACACTGCACGAACAACAGCAGCAATCGCAGCAATCACAGCTCTGCCAGAGACCCCTGGCAGAGCCTAGCTTCATGATAGCCAACGTCGAGGGGCTCTTTCCAAGAAGAAAACTAAACAAGATCGGCTTGCTTTTGAAAATTGGTGAGACAAAAGGAATAATCATGCTTGCCTTAACCGAGTCACATCTAAGAGAGTGTATCCAAGATGGAGAAATCGAAATGATAGGCTTCCAACACTACCGAGAAGACCGAACAGAAGGGAGGAAAAAAGGCGTTATATAGTCTACCTCAGAAACTCCCTAGCGGCAAAAACAGCTCCCCTGCATTTAGGTTCCGATGGATATGTGGAACATGTTATACTACACATCTCCAATCTCTACTTGTGCATATCTATCGTACACCGACCTCCTGACTGCTCGCCGGAAAAATTCCATGAAACTCTCGAGAGAATAGAAACAGAGGTGGCCAACTTGGGTGAACCTTCCCAAAATATTGTGGTTGCAGGAGATTTCAACCTACCACGCATATGATGGCGCCACACTTGGACTGTTTTGGACGGCGCAGAGATCAGGACAGAACCCAGGCAACACAACTACTTTGATTCGCTGGGAACACCTAAAGTAGTGCAGGTTCTGAAGCGTGTTGGCGAGACTGTGACTACATGGTTTAGGAAGGAATTGAAACAAGATGCATGCTGGGCAAGTCTTCAGTGGAATAATCGGCATACAATATTAAGTTACAACATAGAATTCTGTCGACATTTTAAGAACGCCGGCTAATTGAACTAAGTGTTTTAAGTACGGTCGCTTCACATATTTCTACATCACCTGTTAGATGCTGGTGCCAACAAGTGAACAATATCCATGATTTATTCTTTACCAGCAATAAAGAATTGGTTACTGATATTCGTGTTTAGGAGACCACACTGTCAGCCCATCGACTAGTGGTGGTCGAGGCAACAATTGGGATTGGAAACCAGACCAGACCTACATCTCGATAGGGCCTGCATGGCTGGGCTAGATTTTCGTCATAGAAGAACAGACTGGGAGGTCATATGACTGGGGATCCGAGTTCCTGGAGTTAAATGCCGAAGCAATGTACAACATGTTAGCTGTGCGAAGTATTACTGCAGGTAAGCGCGTGTCACACGCCGGTAAGAACAACCCCATACGGCACATTATTTCAAGGGACAGACGGATCCTCATGAGAAAACGAACGAGTTTGATTATGCGTGGAAAATGTTCTTCGCATGCAAAATTACACGTTCCAGAAGACAGCTTTTTTACCAGATAACGACCGGCTCCGGGAATATGATGAGGCGGAAGCTGTAACATCTAAAAAAGAAAATTGGGGACTCTGAACGAAAATTGCAGAACCAACAAGAGGCTGAACAACAAGTTGCGGAAGTGTGAGCGTTGGATGCAACTCGGGAGAATCCCAAATAATTCTTCATATATGCCCAGTCAGAGGCCAAAATCAGAGCCTTAGTGAGGGCTTCTGAAAAATAACTATGTCCTTATTGGAGACCACCAGGGCATGTACGAACAGCTAGGAGCGCAGTTTGAAAAGAATTTCGCAAACCCCGATACCCAAGACAGGAGAACGAAATTGGAGTCATTCAAGACCCACCAGTGGGGCAGGTGCTGATGAACATTGAGTTTAAAACCTCTGATCTAGAGAGGAGTATCCAATAATTATCGACTCATTCGGCTCCCGGAGCTGATAGGGTCAGTATTGTGTTACTGAAAAAATGTGTCGGTGCACCAAAAGTCCCTGTGACTTTACTATGGAAAATATCATTGAGAGAAGGAAACGATCCTTGCTACCTAAAATTAAGGCATTTAACCCCAATATACAAAGAAGGTGCGATAGATAAACCCCGAAATTTTTGGCTGGTTACATTAACATCATAAGTAATCAAAGTATTTGAAAAGGTTGTTGCCATAAGGCTGGTGCTGTACCTGGAGAGAGCTGACCTGTTCAACAGAAGGCAACACGGTTTTTGACGCAATCTCTTCAGTTGTCTGTTACTGGAGCATAACCACCAAATCCTGGCCATGCTGGAGGAGGGGGCTGGGCTGGATGTGGTGGATTGGACTTTGCGAAAGCGTTTGACAAAGTAAAGTTGACCAAGGAGTTCTCTTCAGAAATTTAGGGGAGTGCCACAGTGAACGATACTCTGCCCAATTCTCTAACTCATTCACATCGCCGAAATAGATGTGGCAGTGAACCACGCCACCGCATCGTCATTCGCGGACGACACTAGGATACTATTGACCATCATGAACAGGACATACTGTGAGAGGTTGCAAGAAGACCTCTCTGCAATATATGACTGGGCCCAAGTGAACAACATGTAGTTCAACGGGTTCTTTGATACAGTGGTATCAAAGGTTCTGAGATACAGTGGTACTGGAAGATCTGGAATGGAGTACCGCTACTTGGCACTTAACAACTCGGAAATCGAAGAGAAGCTACTCGTTCACGATCCGTGCAGGGGTCGCTAACGAGTCGCTTCCCTGAGTTCACCTGGAACGAGTCGCTTCATGGAGTTCACCCTGGAGACCTTTATGAAACGACGGGACGTTTTCCTGGGCAAAATCCGTGATCGACTGCCCATGCACTACTAGCGACGGCGAGAAGCAAGCAACAGCATCGTGCATCAGCTGGCCCAAATAAGGGTGGATGCGCGATAGTCAGAGGCGGCGTTCCATCGTTGCCTGGGATTGCTACATGCGGAACAAATGTTAAGGATACTAAGGATCTGCGCTTCAGTACGCAGCGATTTGGATACGTCTCCTCAGTAAAAGCACGAGTAAAGCCCCTTTCACACAGGGCAGTAAATATTGCGCGCGTCAGAAATGCCGCGGCAGTATTTACCGCGCAATCTTTCACACGAGGCGCTTTTTACTGCTGGGATCTATCAGTCTTGCAGTGCTGTTCTCCGTAAGTGGTCCTCAGTTTTTGTGAACTATAAATGGCTGCTCATAGCAAAGAAAAGAAGGCTCTCCTTTTATATTTGCTGCATAAAAGACAGCAAAGAAAGAAAAGGAGGTGCTGGGTTCACAAGATAGTAAACTTAAGGCCACAAGAAGGTGAATTTGCCACACTATTCGGAAAATTAAGAGAAGATTACATTCATTAACAAGAAGAAATGAGTTTAATTATCCTAACCTCTTTTAGTAGCTGGAGCTGCATACACCCTCGCCGACCCATTGTCTGTACCACACTAGGTAGCGGCGTCGGCGTGACAAACCGCCCAGTGTGAAAGATTACATTGAATACCATAGCAAGCTAAACTGTCGCGGCAAATCTACCGCCGCAGTTTTAGCAGGACAGACGCGGGCGTCAGGCGTCAAATTCTACGCCGTGTTAAAAGACGTGTGTGAACAGCAGTGCACATTTCGTATGTCCGCTAAGGTTCGGCAGTAAATACCGTCGGACGCTGGCAGTATTTACTGCCCTGTGTGAAAGGGGCTTTACGTCTCCAATTTTACTGGAGACTTTTGCTCAGCTTGTTCGTGGATAGATAATTATACAAGATAGGCCAAAAGTCTCTGAACGACTTAAATTTTAGATAACTTTTTATACTAACAGTTATATGCATGAAATTTCAGTATCTTAGGTCAAGGGGATGGAAATTGAGATCTATCACAAACATAATTTTATCATCATCACAAATTTACGTTTAGGAAGAAAATAACATCCTGCATATGCCTTCCGCTTTGTGCTTCATAAATTGCAGCTCTTTCGACTATCTCTACCATAACTTTCTCCAAAGTTACTGGGCTTATTTCTCTCACTTCTCTAGTGATGTTTTCCATTAGCTCTGTTAAAGATTTCGACTATCTCTACCATAACTTTCTCCAAAGTTACTGGGCTTATTTCTCTCACTTCTCTAGTGATGTTTTCCATTAGCTCTGTTAAAGATTGCGGCTTGATGGCGCAATCTTGTGGTTGCTTGTGGTTGTTGTCTCTCACATCAAAATGCTTTCGATAAGCTCTTTGAGTTTGAATTATTGAGCTTTGATTTTAGAAGTAAAATTTTACAATTTTTGTACGTTGGACGGTATTAAGTTTCTCCATAATTATTTTCCAGGAACCGAATGAAATCAAAAATGTTAAGAAAATAAAAATTTTAAGAAATATAAAATATATCAGCAACTAAAAAGGGTCAGTGACTTTTGGCCCACCCTGTATATGTAGCGGTGATGTCCATTTGCTTTCTTCTTGCAGACTTACCGACGCTTCTCGATCTCGACACTCAAGGTGACCGCTGCCGTAAATGCGACTAAAAGGATGTCAGCAACGGATGTGGTACAGTGCGCGAGGCAGGCCGCCTTGGAAGGTGAATATTCTGCTTCCATTGTGGTCTTGAAGAATGATTTGAAATTAAGGTCCCTTTGTAACTTCGGCACTTCCGCAGAGTCCACATTGTTTCGTCAGAAGTCACAGAGTTGCAACAATTGATTCTTTGTTGATTCGTGATCAAAGTTACAATTCGCTATAATGAATATTTGTCAAATTATTATAAGCTTCATATTTGTGCTCATGCGTGCATGACCTTCGAAAGACGCGGCTTGACCTAACCCTTTGAACTGTAAAGAGTTCCGTCGGCTGAGGGGCTTTTCAATGACCCGCGGACGCTCACCATGCAGGAACATCTTACGCTCGAGGGCACAAATTTCAAATTCCCAGTAACTACCACTTTCTCAAAAATTGATAGCCGTAAACACATATCGTGAGAAACTTTTTGTTTTTTTCAGACATGGCTGGGTTTTCTTTCAATGGAACCTGCACAGCATACAGATTTGGCAAGAAACTCTGCTCCTGTTCGACGGAAGAACCAGTCATTTACGTGACCAACTCCAGTATTTCCTACGGAACTCCTTCAAGTGTTCCTTTCAGTGAGACTCCATACATTAATATTGACCTGTGATATCACTGTGAGTTCACCAAATGAGTACAAAAAACTAAATTGAATATTATTGTGTAATGAATAAGTGCGCATGTCCCTAGACGTTATGGTTGACCTGTGATATTGCTGTGCGATATATATGCCGGTCCCGATATGTACGTATATTGAATGACCTGCGTGATGATGATATTACTGCGTGATGAAAGTTATACATCTCTAACCCAATGCTATGCATCGCCAATGTTATACATCTCTAAGCCTCCCTACACATCTCTAACCAAGCCCTCACACGAAACCCAACCCTCACACTGTGCCCAACCCCCGCATAAAGATCTTAAGACCTCATAGTCTCCCTATAAGGCATCAAGAACCAAGAGTTAATTTAGGGACATCAGCACTAGGCATGCTTCAAGCACCATCTTTGACGGCTACCAAGCTCCGCCCGCCAGCGATACCGAGAAATGAACGAAGCTTTCCTATGCTCGGACCCTCGACAAGCTCCACTCTTGTCGATGCGGCTACCGCCGCGCAAACAGTTGCGCTAATCACTGCGCTTTTTAGCTAGTGACACGAAATCCTAAAACCCAACCTCGAGTACAACCTTCGCGCAATGCCCAATCCTCGTACGTACTCTACCATTCCGGTCAGACCCTTGCATAAAGCCTCTCGCACGAAGTCCGTCTCTCGCACCATCGCCTGTAACAGCTAACAGAAGCTGTCAGCTGTATTATTATACGCAAAGTGAATTGAGTGGGAGAGCAGTTGCTTGTGTGTGCTTTCTTTAATATGTCTATATGTGTGTGGGAAGTTTTTTTTATATCAGTAAACGTATGGGGAGATTGGGTAAGGACGTATATCCGTGCTCAAGTGAATGTTAGTGAATGCGCCTTTGAAGGAATGCGCCTGATTACGTAAACGTTCACACGTGTTCCTGCAAATCATTATTTGTTTATGCCTTTTGCTAATGTCCTGACAGTTGGTGAATACGAGCATATGAGTATATTGTGCTTCAGTCGTGCATCTTGTGGACGCGCATCAGCACCATCGAGCATGCGCCCGTGTCGCGTGAACGTCCTGCTGTTTTAAAAGGCCCAATTACACTAGGGGCAACGACATGGGCGGTGAGGCGCTTGCTGCTGCTCCTCACCGCCCACTACCGTTCACTTATTTTTGTACACGGTAGCTCGAGACCGCGCGCTTTGAAGATTAGATGCCAGTTAATAAGACGTCAGTGGAGCTGGATATAACCGAATTTGAGCTCTGGGCCCTTGATCTCGGGTGTGCTGCTGTTAACATTTACACAATTACATTTTCAAAGAATTATCAGTTTCGAATGCATCAGACTTTCAAAATTATACTAGACTGCCAGTGGACTTGTTTGACAGTCTGCTAAAGAAAATTATGCCACTCATCCAGAAGCAGGATGATGTAATTAAGATGAAATTTGCATGCAATGGAACTCATTTGCAATGAAATTCATTTCACGTTGGAATTGCGAACGCAACGTATGAATTTTCTTGCGAAACCCGTCAATGATTTTGACTTGTCCACAAACATTTTTTAAAACTACAACTATTTTCACCAGAGCTTGTTCTTTTGTATTTCGACTTTTATACTCCTTTGACTGAACTCTCTACAGGCATTCATGCTCTCTGCAAAGATCAATTAGCCTTTCTACTAGAGAGCGAGTCCAAACAAGTGTGGCGCTAGTTGCCATAGTGAAGGACCAGCGTATACAAACAACCTCGCTAGACCACGGACAGCCGTCCACTGAGTGCGGCGCTTGTGTTGCATGAGGCAGGGCGACTGTGAATCGCTAGCTCGTCAATCGCTTCGTTGCCCAGAATAAGCGCACGTAGAGGGGCGGCGAGGCGCTTGACGCCCGTGTGTTGCCCCTTGTGTGAACGGGCCGAGGCTGAGACACAGCCGTCAGGCTGCGTTCAGTCCTATGAGGTTTATTCACTATTTTTTCTAAATAACTCCTGTCCTAAATATGATACAAGTCTCAAATTTTGAATGATTTTCCGACTATTTTTCTTCATTCCACGTAACTTAAGATAAATTTTGCAAATTTTGTCTATCACCTGTTATTAGGAAAGGGAAAATTTTGCACCTCGTTTTTCGTGAAGCGAGTGAATTTTCTACCATTTTCTTGATGTACAACGGTTTAACTAATTATTCTCTTTTGAGCGGTACACCATTTACTTATGAATCAGATTTCTGGAAGTAGATAGAAGTCATTATACCAAAAAATGTTTGAAATTCAGTAGATTAACGCACCACTTCTACTTCGAGTATCCTACATTGGAGCGGTCAAAGCATCTCCATGGCTCATAAATTACTCGCCCGTGGCTGTCAAGAGCCCCATCAGCCTCTGTCCTCCCTCCCCGGACCGTGAGTGGCCATCGATCGGCCAGAGTATGTAGGCGCCGGACGCCTGCTGGCTATTCACCGGCCACCTGAAAGCCTCCCTTACCTCAAAAACTGTATCCTTGAGGACTGTGGCGTGTCAAACACAAAAATGTCGTTGAAGTGATTACGGGACCAAAGCTTTGTGACGAACGAACCAACACGCAAGCTCAGTGTTCACAGCGATCTGCTGGTCGCAGGGAATTCAGACTTCGCACGGCGATACCCCAGTCTTTTAAAGGTGCCTTATTTAGCTGCCGCTTGATGCACCAACACCGTTGACGTTTGCTTCAGGAGGAAAGTAAAATGTTATACGAAACCTTTTTAGGCCTGGCGAGACTCGAGAGCAGCTTGATGTTGGTCAAGAGTGGCATGACGTAGATCAAGATAGACTTTCTGTTTGTCCAGTGCGGCTTTGTGTTGCTCATGAATGGGTTGGAACTTTATGTTGGTCTCGAGCGGCTTACTGTTGGTCAAGCGCGGCTTGTTGACGGTCTCGAGCGGCTTGATGTTGGTCTCGAACTGCATTATGGAGAAGGTATTATAGTGGCAATTTGAAGGAATGACATGAAGATTGCAGTGATATTGAATTATTAGGAAGTTTTGGCGAGTAGAGGACTAATTAGGATATTTTTGTGCGCGTTCTGAACTGACGTGAATAATTTACAAAAGACCGGTAATTACAGTGGTATTGAATTATTAGAAAGTTTTGGAGAGTAGAGAACTAATCAATTTATTTTCGTGCATGTTCTGTGACGACGTGAATAATTGACAAAAGTTGGATGATGGCTTCCTCTTTCTGTACTGACGCGAGTCGGGATACATACACGAATCCATAAAATCTTACAACAACGAATAGTTTTAGACATGATACTCAAACCGTAAAGTGATATGGTACAGCCTTGGCGTACTTCATTAAGGGGACCGCCTAACCTAAATTGGAGATAGCCTATAACTCCTAAAGTTATTATCCGATCATCATGAAACTTCACATTCAAACGTAAAATGTAAAAATAAAAACATTTTACTTCTATGAATTTTTCGAAAAAATTGATAGAAAACGTGATATTCATAGAAAACGGAAAAATAACGGTTACTATATAAAGGGCCTAAAAACTGCCCTTCTTTGGGAAGCTGTCACGAAATCATTTTTAGACGCACAGGGATGATTCTGGTACCGTTGAATGCGTTGAAAAGTGAGCTTTAAGATGAGCCCAAAAAGTGGAAAACGCCTAAATTGAAAATTTTAGGTTAGGCGGTCCCCTTAAACTGGAAATGTGATTGATCGCTTAAAACAGGTTTGACAGACCTCATATGTCCAAGCTCTCTTTGATTTGGCACAATGCGTGCGACTGAACGATCAAAAAATTGTCGAATTCTGAGGCAATTATCTAGTGCGGCTTACCTATTGTCGTGACAACTAGCGCGGCTAGAAGGCAAGCAGGACATTCGAGGATACGTAGGATGTTATGTATAGTCGTGTACTGGCCATGCTAACCGCATTTCTCGCTAGCAGCTTACCTTTATTTATGAAATATTTAAAAAAGCAAACTTCAACAGGCGCTGCTCCCTACGTCAACGTCACTGTTGAGAACACCGGATTGAAGCAGTACCAGCTCGTGAATTTCTTCATGGATGTCATTGAGAACAAAATTATAGAGCCAACTGACAGTAAGTTGTCAATAATTCGTGATGCAATTACCGTTTAACAAGTGGGACAAAATTCGTCTAGCCTCTCCCTCGCGACTCCAGCTAGCCTTCTCTTGCGGAATACTAGTCACTGTTAAGAAACCATATTTTTTCTCATATTTGTTAACACGATTCGTTACTCGACACTTCTGTGATCACGATGGCAGGGAACTAAAGCACTCACTGGCTAAGGTGAAATGAATGAATGAAAATTTATTTTTTAAACGAATCCAAAGTTAAGCCACACGTCCGCGTATAATAGTCCAGGAAACCTAGTGAAAAAAGGGGGTCAACCTAGAACAAATTGCAAAAGAATTTTCTCCATCATTATAACATGCAGAAAGGCCTCAGAAAAGACATATAAAAAATCCTCTAAAATATAATTGGTGGAAAGGCTTCAAATCAGTGATTTTCAAAATGGCCGCCGAAGTAAACTATATGTTGATATGCAGCGGGATGTATTAGTAGACTGGAACAGTTTTGTTGCCAAAAAACAATTTTTTTAGGCTAATAAATCAAATTATATCTATATTATGAGCTAAATTTTATAAAATAAGGAATATTGCAATATTTTGTAATAAAAATGTCATTTTATCGATAATTTTATGCTTTTTAAAGTCCGATGAATTCTCAGTGTTTCTTTTTTTCTTCTTCTACTGATAAAATTTGGCATAAATGTATTTGTCTGATGTAAAATAACTAGGAAAAAAGTCATTATGATCAGAAAATCATTAATTATAATGGTCAGCTTTGGAAAACTATTTCTAAGATGAAATAAGAGAACGTCAGCTGTGTAGACAAAAAGATAAAATATCAGACATATGAATGATAAATGGGATAGAAAAACCCTTTTTATTTCAGCATGCACATTTTTTTTATTTATTTTGGACGTAAAATAAAAATGAGAAATTAATATACTGAAATAATTAAGAAGTTATGCTAACAAAAAATCCAGTTATGACGCTTAAGCTATAGAACTAGTAGCTTTTATTAACGTAAAGTTTAACTGTCCATAGCAGGGTAACATGGGGCAAACGGACCACTGCGGGTCACGGGCCCGTAGCGGGTTTCTCGCTAAGTATGGCAGATATTGGTCCGTGTTCTCTACCGCCGGTCGACAGTTTCACTGGGATGAAGTGTACGGATTTACGTTTTGCCATGTGTTGCGTTATTAAGTTATTTGTGAATAACTGTTTTAGCCCAGATAAATTTTTTTTGCTGCTAAATAAAACTGTTTTCGATTACTGTAGATGAAGATTTTGAAATTACTGTGAATTATATTTTGAAAGTAATATTTATAGGGATAATTTTGAGTTCAGTATTAGACTATTAGCTTATACAATAAAATGTTGACATGATATAAATGGAAATGATACCTAGTGGGGCAACGGGCCCATGCGTGTCACGGGGCAAAGCGCCAATGGTGAAGTCTTGTGTTATACATAATTAGATTTGTCTCAATGGCCCTTTCAAAATTATGACTAGCTTTTTGAATTACAAATTACACTTCATATTGCATGATTTTTTTATTTGCTGCCTCTAGGAATCAGGTTTAGTTACAAGTTATGCGTATTCGACCCCTTATCGAGTTTTTGACTCTTGCCTTGCCAAAAGTTGATTTCAGCCAATACCAATGAGTCAAAAGTTGATGAGTTTTTATGGTGTTGGCTGAAATCACGATTAAGTACGAATTCTCTGCACATAATATCTGGATTATGGACGTAGCTGGAACGAAGTTTTTTTCTGATCAACTAAATATATTTTTTCTAGTCAGCGATACATTTTTTCATGTCAAGGATGAATTTTTTATAGCAAGGATATATTTTTACAGTCAAGGATATGTACATTTTAATGTCAATGAAATATTTTTTTCATGTCAGTGATAGATTTTTAAGCCAAGAGTATATTTTTTTCAAGTTAAGGATATGATTTTTTAAGTTGTTGATAAATGAAAGTCATATTTTTCATTACATTTTTCTTATTTTTAACTGTTAAGTGTTGTTTTATCATTTTTAAACGAAAAATATGCAATTGTGGTGAAGGGACCAAAGGTAGGCGCCTTGCCCCAAGCCCATGGGCCCATTGCCCCAGGGGTGGGGCAATGGGCCCATTTTGACACTTTTTACAATAAGGTGTTTCATTAAAAATTTAATAACTCTATCGACGTCTAATCCACATCATACATTCCTTATTAGTTGTACCTTTAAACATAACAAAGAACCACCTCGTATCAATTAAAACTTCATCAAAAATTTATTTTAAAAAAGGGAGGGCCCGCTGCCCCATGTTACCCAACTGTGATTATTCTATACAATATATCAAAATAGAATGCTGTCACCCATCAGGAGTATCAGCGTTGGCTACATGCTGCTGAACACTCCTATCCTATGTATCATATTCTCCCTTGTATATACCACCACCATTACTGTCTTGAGGTCACTCATCGGAAGAGTTAGAGTCACTGTCAAGTACTTGACTTGTGTTACTGCATACACCATGGCACTGGTCACATGCTGGAGAACATTCCATGTCCCGTTTCCGACAGGCACACCTCCTGGTTGAACAATCTGTTGAAACGTCCTCAAACTATGAAACTGGGCTGCTGCTGATGTAGGTGGAAGCACCTGGGGGTCTACAAATGCTTTGCTAACAACAACTTTTCTGTGAAAGTTATTGAACCAAAGTTTGTCCAGAGACTCTCCGGTAGCACCCTTGTACAGAAAGACTAGAGCAATCTCTCCAGCCACAAACTGTCCCCCCGAATTTCACCTTCAGACCCCACTCATCTTCTCTCTCAGACCCCAGGATTGAGTTTTGAACGTTGTATTCCCTGACCGTTGTCAGCACTAAGTCTTTCTTCTTACCACCATATATGTCCCCTGTCCCGCAATAGATACAGTTACTTTTGTAATCAAAGCCGGTTCCAGTAGATCTCAGTTGGCGTGCTCCGTCCATTTGCTCTTTTTCTGTTCTGGGCTTCAATACTGAATGACCTACAATGGCTCCATTTTGTCCAGACACTACTGTTGTTACAACTTTTCTTCTTTCACTGGCTTTCTGGATACCTTTACAACCATTGGGTGTTAGTGATGCACATTCTCCACCTTCTAGGATAGGCCTGGTACAAAGGGCTCATTGGGCAACACCCATCTTGGTGCTACCTGTAAGACATGATGTGATCACCCTCTACCAAGCATATGTACAAGCTAGACATTCTGTAACAGTGACTATAAGCATTTATTAATCACAAAATACCTCTATATGATGTGTCCTGTCTTGAAGTCTGATCAGAGGGCTGCTCTCTTAATAATAGTAATAGTCGTTTCAGCGTTTATTAGGCCGTAGGCCTGTCGCCGATTCTTAACAACGCAGAACATTCACAGCATTTTGCGGTCTCGCACTCGCAACTCACTGCTACAATTCTGCTGTGCTTAACCGCCCGGCCTCCTTGCCGATTCTGACCAGAAACTGGCGCACAGAGCTGGGATCGAACCCGCGCCTCTCTGCGCCAATCCTGGTACTCTGAACTGTAACCACTGGGCCACCCTCTCTTGCTGGTCATGTTCTAAAAACTTACACCAGAGGGTCTAGACAATGCTGCCCTTTTACTACAATTAACACACCATTTACGATATAGACACACACTCACCCTGCATAACATACACACACACACACACTCCAGGTGCATGCCTGTATATATCATAGGCATTATTCCACATGCCTATATAATCACAATTTTTCACTTTATGGGTGACTGTTTTTACAAATACTAGATTGCTACCACCTTGGTTGAATTTTAGTTATTATTAGTGAATACCACCTACATGAAAACATACATTCAGTCACAAAAATAGCTGACAGTCATATTTAAAAAATGTGTTATTGGGCTTATATTGCCATTCGGCGGTCATTTTTTTAAAACTTAAATTTGACACCCTTCCACTACTTGCATTTTAGAGGATTTTTAGTATGTTGTTTCTATTGCCCTTCTGGAGCAGTGGTGAAGAAATCATTTGTTTTGCAATTTGTTCCGGGTCAAACCTTATTTTTCCTGGACTATAATGGTGATGTCACGCCTAGGGTGCAGTGTCGAAAAAAACAGAATTTTCTTCATTCTTCCCATCTTCGTGTGAGACACCAGTTTCTTAATTAAGGGGAGCGTCTTGGTCCAAAATCGACAATTTAGGCTTTTCCTGTTTTTAGTCTAATCTTAAAGCTGACATTCTGACCTATCCAACGGTACCAAAACCATCTCTGTACGTTGATTTATGCGTTCACGACAGATCCCGAAAGGGAGGGGGGTGGGGGAGTTCTTTCACATTTAAGATGAAGAATAATTCCCGCAGTGCACTATAAATCACTTGTCTACAGACACTCAGCTCCAGTAACCTTGCTGCAGTCGTACGGGGTCGTTACTGCACCGTCGCTCGTACCACCCTTGACAGAAATTGATCTCCAGTATCGTCTAGTTTCATTCCTTGCAGTGTTGAATGCCGATTTCGAGGCGCCCGGGACTTTGTCGGGCTCTACTGAACATTCACACTTATTGTCACTGGAAACCTATTTACTCCTACAGTTTCGATGCTACAGCAATGAGACATATACCATTCGATTCGCAAAGAAAAGATCTACAAATTGTTGTAAGCGTTTTTCTAATTTCGTTATAGTTTGTATTTTATTTTGCAAAAAGGGGGGGTGGAATGGGGTAAAATCGAAAAATTTCCGAAAAATTTACAAAAAATGCTCCCACACCCACAAAATTGGAAATTTCAAAAAACGCCTACATCAATTTGTAGATATGGTCTTTACGCATCGAATAATATGTGTCTCGATGTTGTAGCTTGAAAATCCTAGGCCCGCTGATATTTCTACAGTACCCCCTTTTTTGTCCGTTTTCTAAGAATTTCTCGTTTTCTTTCATTTTTTCGAAAAATTCACATGAACAAAGAAGTCTTAGAATTGCGTTTTACAAACGTGTATCAAATTTCGAAGTGATTCGTCCGCAAATAAAAAATTTATTTTCGGACCAAGACGCTCCCCTTAAGTCGTCTTGCTTTTATATAAAACTTTAATCAGAGTTTCATAAATAATCTTTCTATTTAGCGCTTCAACAAATCATAATAAAATCATAGAAGGAAACTCAACGTACTCGAAACTAATAAGTATGATCGAACATTTTTTCCGCTATTATCATATGTGAACATAAATACATATCTAACATGTTGAGTCCGATTGCTTCATCTCGTGCTATTATTTCATTTTATGTACTATTTTGAAACAGGGTTGCCAGACGGTCTTTTTGGCGGACAAATTCTGCGATTTGTATTTTTTTCAACTGCGTTGGCTGGCTAAAATTAATGATAGGGGTACTTCCTAATTAAATTTTAAAACCTGCAAAAAAAGAAATGGAATTTTTACACCGGAACCTACATACTAGTATATAATGAGTTATAGGATTTTTTGGGCCTTTTTTGTTCCCGAACATTGTCTTTTTTAGGCCATCTTGCAACCCAGAATTATACGTACCACTACGTCCAAGAGAAATATAATTCGAGGAGAAATACAAAGCACCCACTGGCCAAGGTTAAATTATTGAATGAATATTGTTTTCAAACGAATCTCAAGTTTGGCCACAAGTCCGCGTATAATGGTGATATCACTCCTAGGGTGCAGTGTCGACATAACAGAATTTTCTTCATTCTTTACATCTTCGTGTGAGACACTAGTTTTCTTAATTAAGTCGTCTTGCTTCTATTTAAAACATTAATCAGAGTTGCATAAATAATCTTTCTATTTAACGCTTCAACTACTCATAATAAAATCATTATATGTAACTCAACGTACTCGACACTAATAAGTTATGATCGAACCTTTTTTCCCGAATTATCATTTGTGAACATAAATACATATCTAGCACGTTGAGTCCGATTGCTTCATCTTGTACCATTATTTCATTTTATGTACTATTTTGAAGCAGGGTTGCCAGACGGCCTTTTTGCGGACAAATTCTTCTATCTAGTTTTTTTTCAATTGCGTTGGCCGGCTAAAATTATTGATAGGGGTACTTCCTAATTGAACTTTAAAACCGGCAAAAAAGAAATGGAATTTTATACCAGAACCTACATGCTAGTGTATATTGAGTTATAGGATTTTTAGGCCTTTTTTGTTCACGGACACTGCCGTTTTTTAGGCCATCGGAAAACCCAGAATTATGTACCACTACGTTCTGGAGAAATACAATTCATGGTACGTATATATGTACAACTTCAGAGTTAACGTGTTAAAAAAGACACTCTGAGCTTAATTAAAATAAAAAATATTAGTGCACAAAACAATTATCATCATCAGTTAAAACCTCGATCCCTATTATGATGAGTCCATTATCTCTACTATGATGAGCCCTCGATCTCTATCATGATGAGCTCTCGATCTATATTATGATGAGCTCTAGTATGTGATATCTATTCCCGCTTGCCGATGATGCGCGCCGTTTTATTTTTCCTACTATTTAGTGTAGGTGTAAGGCATTTCAGTCTGCAGTGTCATGCCTTTCATTAGAATTGTAATGGAAAACATATTACTCGAAATACTTTTTGAGGACATTTTCAAGAGCACTCTTCCTTTCTAAGGTAATTTCTTTGGCATTTTTCGATGCAAAGTTCTGGTCACAGCTTTCTCCAAACAACGAAGCTCTCTAGAGACCTTGACTAGAGATCACCTCAAAACTGCCGTCCACAGCTTGTCCATCTCAGGATTTTGACACCGAAATGCACCAATTGATGAGTCATTAAATCACCTAATTCATTTGTTCCTGCCAGTCCCAGGGGCAGCCTTGGAATACTCCTTCTTTCCTCAAGACGATGGCACCTACAAATCTATTTTTATACAAGGTGTGGACCTGGCTTCTTGCGTCACCGACTCTCCATGCGGGTTACCTGTCCTAGTCTTCATAACGTACCCAACTTACTACCTGCGTGAGTATCAGTTACGCAATGCGTTCGGTAATCTAAATAAAGTCTAATCTAAGTCAAGGCCCCTTGATTTCTCCACACTTTAGGCATAGTTGATAAGTGCTCCGATATAGCACCTGCATACTGGCGCAAAGCCGTCACACCAATGATCCTTTTAAAATATATCATTCATATTACTACCTAACTACTATATAAATTCAAATTGATCAAATATATGATTGATAACTACTATTTAATTGACAATCGACCCCATATATAATTGATATTCGTTATCGTATTATTTTAGCCGCCAAAAACAGAACAAGTTCAGTTCTCTCAATAATAAACACTTAAAGTTCTTACAACCACGATACCAGTTCTTACAAAAGCTCTGGAATGTGCTGAGTTGTGCTGCCCTAGCCGGTGGTAATAAACTCGCTAACCGAGCTCGTTCTAAGGGATTTCATTAAGTTTATTTACATATATTTGCTGATATTATTATAATTTTCAACTTCACTGTGCAGTAGAAAATATTTCTGGGAAGTTTTTCGGTATGAAATTTTCTACCGTGTTGAATAATGTGTACCGTAGTGGCAAATATTGTCCCAAAAAATTTACGTCATTTACAGTAAAATATTGATTGAGATAAAACGAATAATGATTTTCCTGTTAATTTTTTTCAAGCTGTACAACTGCCATAGTTTATATTTTTATGGCAGGTTTAGCTTTTCTGGCAGGGGATCTGCAGACTTTAGCGACTCCTAAGCATGAAATTGTGCATAAGTCTACATTTCATGTACATAGTAAGAAAATTCTGGATTTTTTCTCGCCATGCTCTGATTATCAATTACAATGATTGATCATTTAAAATAATTTAATTACTTATTTCACTCATTAAAAATTAATTATTCGCCTTACTATTTTCTACGTTCGTGTCACCACTTAAGTGATGCAAATTACAATATTAATCTGAACCAAATTATAATGTAATAATAATCAGTTCTGTGCCATTATATACCTATACGTCACATCCACATTGTTTAGCGTCATGCTCGCTACACTACGCGGCATTGAGAGCATTCGGTGAGGTTGGTATGCCAGATAATTACTTTGATGTGTCCTTGCTTGGCCTCAGCCGATACCTGACGATGTGAGTCAACACGAGGCGATGCAATCATTATACCAAACCCGTTTCATTATAGCAAATTTTACTCAGGCTTACTGAAGTGAGATGAAGCGCAGCCAAGTGATCAATGCTGCCAACACGTTGTGCTCTCTGCCCAGGCTAAGCTGTAGTCGTGAGCAGCAAACTCAGTCTAATTTTCCTTTCCATGTCATATAAAAAGAGTAATAAATTGTATTCAGTCACATCGAGATCATTCCACTATTTTGTATCCGCAGTGAACGAATGCGGCAGGACCATTGAACTTACGGCTGACCTCTCCAAGTCAGACTTCGTTATTGTGTACTCACACCCTGGATTCGGGTGCAAGGCATTCCCGGACGGTCCTACATACAACTGCACCGTTACTTTCACATCAAATACTACTCTTGCCTTTATTTTTTTGGGATTTTATTTCGATGCCGCTGCCGCTACCTGCGACGGCTACACACTGCGCGCTTCTTACGATACCACGCCCGACGCCGATTTCTGCACTGTTGCTAAGGTCGGTGAATGGGAGGGTTTTGGTATCCTTGTCAATCTTGGTTTTCTTCGATTAGGTTCTCTTGTATCTCTTTCCAGAAGAAATATGACTTATTAATCCACGATATATCGCGCCGATGTCTTGAATTAAAATAATTTATCACAGATCCCAGAGGGTCCTTCTGCGATTCAATCCTATAGTGTCGGTTCAACTTAATAATTTACCTCCACTAAATCCGCACGAGGAAGTCCATTTCCTCAGCCTTCATGCAGTCAAACTCAATCGAACCGGATTGAATAATTTTATTCCCGTTTCATAAGTATCGTCCAGTTAAGAAGATACAAAGATTATAATAATATTGTTTTTCTAAATCCTCTATGATTAATAATTTTACCGCAAACTAATAATATAAAAATATTGCATTTAAAGTGGGTCTAAACTATAGACCTAATGATCCTAGACCAGCGTTGACCTTTTAATGAGGACAACAAAACAGTGTCGCTCTAAAAACAAATTATTGCGATTGTTCACCTCAGGACGGACGTGGCAATACAACAATCACTCTGCGAGGCCAGGCGCTGGCCAAAACCTTCAAGGCGGGGTTCTTCTTCTCATTCGGGAAGTAATTGTGCCCCGTTTGCCCCCATCGTCACCCCACGTGTCCCCCATCACAGCAACATCACATACATGATCACCGAAGCCTTCACCTCAAGCGGGGGATTACAATTCCACACAAACTAAAATTTATATTCTTCTGAAGTCATATTTTTGAACTTAGTTGTGACTGCGCCTCAGAGAGATATGCGACTTCGCCTCAGAGAGGGATGTGACTGCGCCTCAGAGAGGGATGGAGAACAAGGGGTGAACTGCGATAGAAAATAAATGCAGAAATAATCAGAAATACCTCATAGAATAGGTTGGGGGCTTACGGGGTGTAGGCAACGCTGGACTTTTGGCAACCTTGAAGACGACAACTCATTGTATCTCGCTTACTGTGTGATGCCATGCACAAGGGCTGTTACTTTAGCTGTGGGAAGTGGTGATGCCATGCACGAGTGCTGTTACTTTAGCTGTGTGAAGTGGTGATGCCACGCACGAGTGCTGTTACTTTAGCTGTGTGAAGTGGTGATGCCA